AGGAGCCCTGGTAGCTCAGTGGTTAAGTGCTCAGGTGCTAGCTGAAAGATTGGCAGTTTGAACCCACCAGCCACTCAGCAGGAGAAAGATGTGGCAGCCTGCTTCCGTAAAGATTACAGCCTTGGGAACTCTATAGGGCAGTTCTGCTCTGTCCTGTGGGGTCTCTATGAGACAGAACTGACTCAGGGGCAACGGGTTTGTTTTTTTTTTTTTTTTTTTTGGTGTTTTTGGTACCTCAGAAAGTGCTGTGTGCGACTCATCACAGAGACAGGGATTTTAAGGCAGAGGGAGGCTAAGTATCAGGTTCTACCAACAAGATAAAGCATAGGAAATGTTCATTGAATTTTCTTGGTGTATGTGTATAAAAAATACCTTAGTATATCCACTGCCAGCAGTTCTGGATAAACTGAAATTCAGCAGTTGAAAGCACCATCTTATCAAATCATGAACCAAATTAAATTAAAGTCAGAAATATTCCATGGATTTTTTTATTTCTGATTTTGGCAGTTAGACCCCCCCTAAGCTTTCTAAAGTCTTATATGTAAATTATTAAACATGATTCTTGAGAATAGCTTTAAGATTGAGTTTAACATGTTTGTTTTTTTATAAGAAAACTTATTATCTGCTATTGAGAGTCTTTGTTGAAATTCATTATGACTGTTCTTGACTCATGATCTTATGAGTGTCTAAAGTGGCTGTCAGTCAGATTCTTCCAGCTTAGAGTTTGCTGTTTAGACAGGAATGATATTTCCAGGCATGCTGGAAATAGTGAGCTATTCCTATTGAGAGAGGCCCCTTTGTACCTGAGATGAAGAGAATGGTGGACTCAGATTCTATTTCTGTGAGTAAACTACCTGGAGGCTCCTAGTTCTTGAACAAGAAATTTCCCGGTTTTTAGTCTTTTCTTCGATTAGTATTTCTAGAAATAGAAAAAGAGTTCATAAATATGACTTTCAACCCTCCTGTTACACATTGGAGGAGGCCTGGTGGTACAGTGATTAAGCACTTGGCTGCTAACCAAAAGGTAGACTGTTTGAACCCACCACTGCTCCGCGGGAGAAAATGTGGCAGCCTGCTTCTCTAAAGATTTACAACCTTGGAAACCCTATGGTGCACTTCTACTCTGTCCTTACAGGGTCGCTCTGAGTCGGAATTGACTTGACAGCGCTGGGGTTTTTTGTTTGTTTGTTTGTATATTATATGTCGTTCTAATAGAATTCAAGGTTTATCCCAAGTCATTAATCTTTTTTTGGCATTCAGTGGTTGATTACTACCCTGAACCCATTTTCCTTGCTTTGACCTTTTCTTTATGTCATTCTTGATAATACTTAACCCTGACTACCAGTAGGTTGTTAGTTCCTTGATCGGAACAATCTGACAGGAGTTCCTCTTGATGCTGCTGAAAGGTTTTCTCTCCACCATTGAACATATGCAGGATAGCAAAGGGTGGAGGGCTCTCACCAAGTGGGGAAGTACTGATTCTAATAGCTTTAGAGTGGATTGCTGAGCTCTTTGAGCGTTAAACAATACTGGTGCAAATACTCAGGTAGTTCTTTGCTTGGAGAACTCTCTGCACTCTGAGAGAGATTTTTATCTTTAACATGGCTTTTCATAATTAAGTAAAACCTCTGAAATCCGGAATCTTTATAAGGCAGAAACCTGTCAGAGAAGGAGAACTCAAAATATTTTCCACTAAAACGAGCAGTAGAAAAGTGGTAACACTCAACCCTGTCAAAAGTGGAAAACTTGCAAGACCTGAAAGAAACAAGGCAATCCCAGGCGTTCCAGCCTTCACAGGTTTCCCTGTGTCATCCACAGGTCTGGTGCTGAAGGTAGCTTAAGTACTGGGCCTGCCACTCGCAGATCAGCCTGAAGTTGCTTCCTCTGGGAGACTGCTGGGGGTGGGGGGGTATGCAGTTAGTCCTCTCTTGTGATTCAAATTAGAGAGGAGGTGACTTCCCTGATTTTAGCATAAGTTCTAGGTAGTCTTCACCCCTGTGCTGCCTTTGCTCAGAGGGCTTTCTGGAACTGGGTCCTCCTGTAGGTCTTCCCTGGTATTCATTACTGGGCACGGTGTAGTAATTTTGCTTAAATGAATGGTCTCAGAATTCCATCAGGCTTATAATGGATTGTTGAGGGAAAGAGCTTCTGATGGTGTACTGTGGACATAATACGGGCAATTATCATACCCTCACCTCATGTGGGGATCACAGTAGCGCCACCCTGGAGAGGGCTAGTGGGAGTACATACAGTTAATAGGTGCCCAAAGTCATTGCCATCGAGTCTATTACAACTTCTGTCGACCCTATAGGACAGAGTAGAACTGCCCCTTAGGGTTTCCAAGGAGTGGCTAGTGGATTTGAACTGCCAAACTGCAGACCTTTTGATGAGCAGCCAAGCTCTTAACTGCTGCGCCACCAGGGCTCCCGTGTGCTTGCTGTGTTGTATATACTGATATATTCTTGGCTGTTGGCATGAAAATAATAGATTCAGATCACCCTGCTGTCAGTTTTATAAAGTGCTAAATGCATTCTCTCATCACATTAGCTGTTCTCACTAGAACATATTCTGAGTTGGCTATTAGTGGACTTGGAGTCATCAGATAAATCTTTGGTCTCTGCAGAGGGCCATGTTGTTTTCCATAGGTGGGCTATACCTGGTGTGCTAATCCTGAGGCTTTGTTGCTGCTGTTGGTGCTGTTGGAGACAAGGGATCAGACCAGGTACAGTGTTAAAATTCTGCTACTTCTTCAGAAAGGTCGAGAATTTCTGTATCTAAAATCCACAGTTCGGGATATAATGTCATTTAATGATCAGCGTATATTGAGTGGTCACCCTGTGTCCAGTCCAGTTCTGGGCACTGTCGATTTGTGAGAGGCAGCCTGACTTATGTCCTTACCTTAAAGTGCTCCTTACCTAAGCCATCTGTGGTGGTAAGGGGAGGTGGCTGTGAAACGTGGCCAGGACTCCCCTGGGTTTCCTGGATGGCTTGCTGCCTTTGCGAGGAGCTGGTAGCCACTGAAGGAGCCCTGGTGGTGCAGTGGTTAAATCGCTCAGCTGCTAACCAAAAGGTTGGCGGTTTGAACCCACCAGCTGCTCCGTGGGAAGAGAGATGTGGCAGTCTGCTTCTGTAAAGATTACAGCCTTGGAACCCTGTGGGGCAATTCTGCTCTGTCCCATAGGGTCGCTATGAGTCAGAATCCATTCAGTGGCAGTGGGTTTGGTTTGGGTTTTGTGGCCACTGCATGATGAGACATTTAGAAGCAGGATAGAAAGCAGTGGATGCAAAGCTGACTGGGCCACACTCAGTAAGAAAGAGAGACATAGATTCCAGTGACGGACTCATCCAAAACTGTTATCGCTATCATGCTTAAAAAAATGTATTTGTAGCCAAAAGCTATATTCAGGCAGTTGCTAAAGCTTAAATCAAATATCGTGTCTGTTTTCATTGTATAGTAATAGTCTGTTACAGATGAATAGTTTTGTTATGGCCACAGTTAGAAGAAGTATTGGCTACACTTAGGGATCCTAGGCCTACAGCCTCCACGGGCCTCAACTAGGAGATACTGTGGCAATGCGCGTGGGTCCAATCCCTCTTACCTTGCATGGAAGGGAAGTGGGAGGCACCTCCTGCTTCCCAAGTCAAATAAGCTCTTTCGAGTCCTTGGTTTTCTTCAGATGCACCTGGGCTATGAAACAGGGAGACACTCACTGATTGCACAGTCTTTGACACTTGATTGTGTGCTAGGATATGCCCTTGTTTAGTAGAGGTGCACGTCTCCTTTTAGGGATGACATGAGCTCTGAGGGGAGGAGGGAATCATATTGGTACCTGTGTGTCTCCCCCCCTGTAGTTCTTGTCTGCCGACCAGGCTTGCAACTACCCTACAGGTCTTTGGTAGCTCCTGTTTAAAGACTAGATCCAGTGAGTAGATTACCAAGGTTCTGTGTGTTTGTTCCCTCAGCTCCCCAGCTGAAGCACTCTTCTTGCCCCTCCTTGATTCAGTAATACCCTCATCCTGCACAGTGTTCTCGCCAGGAAGTCTGATCGAGGCCTCCAAACACATCTTAATCTTATGTGGCTCTACCCAGTCTTGTCACCCAGGGTATTTTGTTTGGTAACTGGCTTTATTTCCACTATTAACAAAGTATCTCGGCCATAACATGCATATTCTATCTTACAGCTTGCTTTTTAACCTAACGCACTCAAGTGTGAACATCTTTCTATGTCAGTAAGCTTACTTCTTCAACATTCTTTTCAATAACTGCATAGTAGTCCATTGTATGGATCTGTCATACTTTATGGTTCCCTTTGATTGGAATTTAGGTAACACTGTGGTGCACATATCCTCTATCATTTCCTCAGGAAGAATTTACAGAAATAGAATTGCTAGCTGAAAGCACCTTTTGGGGCTTTTTGATACCCATAACCAATGTGCTTTAAGTGTCCCCTAACAGAAGTTAGGAGCCAGAAAGGCTGTCCACAAACTTTTAAACCTTCTTTGCAATTAGGGCTCATTGGCTGCCGGGAACTTGGGATTTTAAATAGGGTAGTTTTGTTTTGTTGTTGCAGGGGTTGTATAAGAAGTCCAAGCCTGGAGACTTTCTGCAAGTAATAGGCCTAAGTAGAGGTACACTCTCCACATGCAGCTTCCTGCAGCAGCTGAGGGAACATTTATCACATCAGGGAACCCACAGCTTTATTGTTTAAACTGGACGCTGGGTTGTTATCTACTATAGATTGGTAGTTTTGTTTACGCTTCAAATAAAACTAATTTTCTTGGGAGCACCATTAGTGAAAACAGACATACAAAGTCAAGAGATCGGTGAATTCACTAAGCTTGTAAGAGTCTGAACTTAAAAGACAAAGCAGAGAACCATGAGGAAGAATTTGGAAATCAAGCCTGGGCCTGGTATAGACATGAATGTATACGTTTTTCAAAATGTGGAGCACTCCGAAAGAAGCTGTAGTTTTAATGTGATTTTTTTTTCTTTTTTCTAGGTATCTCATTCAGTTGCTAAACTCATATTAGTTAATTTCCACTGGCAAGTCTCAGAGATATTGGACAGGTAAGGTGTTTGGGGAGGGGAGACAGTATCGTCCATGGCTTCCCTCTTCTCACCCATCTGGTGGTGATTATTGTTTACATTTTGGAGTATGTCCTTACAGTGTACATATTTTAAAAACACCGGATCATATTGTACATCCTTTTTTTCTCAAAATATTGTGATTGTGTCTTTAGCGTATTCTTCTACCCTGGTTTTAGTATATTCTTCTACCCTAGTTTTAATGCTGGCACAGTATTTTCATTACATAGGTGTTCCATACTTTTTCAAAACCCCTATTGTTGGACAGTGAAGTTGGTTCCAAGTTTTTATGCCATTGTTAATTTTAATCATTGCCCTTCTAGGTAACATTTGCCAGCATCTCCAGTTGTTTCTTTTGGATACATCAAGTGAGGAATGCCTCATAACATATTGCATATTGCCCTCAAAAACAGTCGGCCAGCCTACCACCCACCACTCCTGCCAACAGGATGTTTGAGTGTCTCCTACCTCCTCCAGAAACAGAGCACTTAGGGCACAGAATTGAGAGTCTCAAGATATCTTGGAAGTGTCAGGATGAGAGATTTTTCCTCCTCTTGCAGCCTCTTGGGAGATTCCCTGCCCCTGACCCCCAGAGACATGTGCCTCTGTCTCGCCCAGGGTTTCTCAGCCTCAGCACTGTTGACATTTTGGGCTGGATAATTCTTTGTTGTGGGGACGGTTCTGTGCATTATAGGGTGTTTAGCAGCATCTCTGGCCTCTGCCCTGCTAGATGTCAGTAGCAGTAGGACCCGCTAGTCATTGACAATAAAAAATGTTTCCAGACATTGTCAAAAGACCCCTGGGAACAGAATCACTCCTGTGAGACCCACTGGTTTTGCCTCACCACTCTTGCCCTTTCATACTGCAGTGAGCCTTCCTTTCTCTATATGGCATGATTCCTTGAGCTGTATAGGAAGGTTATGCCTTTCCTTCTCTAGGCTAACCATAGCTGAGAGAGCCAGACCAGCTGGAGCAGCTCAGCACACCCAGGAAGGGGCAAATGAATTCCTGATTCACAAACTACACTCTCACTCTCTGTACTTGAGAACTGAATACATTTAGATAGATTTTACGGTGAACCTTCACTGTCTGCGCTATTGTTACTACTACTCAAAACTCTGGAACTGCATGGGTTCTGGTGATGGACTATCTCTCACTATTCAGTTGGCTAGCTTCGAGAACAGAGAAGATTTGGATGGCAAAGGATGTTAGAAATATTAGTGAAGGAACTAGGAATAAAATGAGTCCCTCAAGAAGCATAGTTGAAGGAGGTATTACGACGAGGTGGAATAAGGAAATTACATTAGGAGACGTAATTCTTTCCTACTGTGACTCCTGATATCTTGGTCACGTGTTCACCTGGATTTTATGTGGTAATTCCATTGCCACGTGATAATTCTGTTTTTATTTTTAAATGTATTTATACCATACCTCATTCTAGAAAGGAATTAAATTTTTATTGTGAAATAGATCATTTATTTTAAAAAGATATGTGGCACTTGTATATGGTTTAAAGAATAATAAAGCAAACACTTTAGTCTCCACCCAAATAAGCTATGACCTATACTTGAAGGCCCTTGTAGCAACCCCTGCTTGACCATACCCGCTTCCTCTGTCTCCCAGGCGACAAGTGTCTTGTTAATCAACTCAGTGTTGAATTTTTTTTAATATATTCTTAAATGATACATCTTTTAGTTTTGCATTGTTTTGGAACTTCCCAAACATGGAATCATGCTGTGTGTTCTCAACATTTTTAGTTAATATGGTTGCATTTTATGCCGTCCTCCTGTCAAAGGACATCTCTGGTATTTTTAGTTTTTTGCTGTTAAAATAATGCAGCTCTGAAGTCTCTTGTATGAGACTCCTAGCGTACACATACATAATTTTTCCAGAGTTGAGTATAGAAAGTAAATTGCTGGGCTATAGTTTATGTGCGTCTTCCGCTTTATTAGATAATTCTAAATTGTTTTTCAGAGTGATTGTACCATTCTATACTCCCACCAGTTGTGTAGGAATGTTCCTAATATTGTCACATTTAAAATTTTGCAAGCTGACAAGTATAAAATGGTATCTGATTGTTTTTAATTTCAGTGTCCCTGATTATTAAGGAGGTTGAGCATCTTTTCATATATTTAATAACCATTTGTGCTTCCTTCAATGCCTGTTATGTCTTTTGCCCGTTTTTTTAATAATTTTATTTTTGTTGGTGTTGTCAAGAATATATACAGAAGAACATATACCAGTTCAATAATTTCTACATGTACAATTCAGTAACATGGATTACATTCTTCGAGTTAAGCAGTTTTGCCCATTTTCAATTGACTTATTTTATCTTTTCAAATTGATTTTTAGAAGTTCTTGTTTATTCTGAATACTAATCCTTTGTCAGTTATATATGTACTGGATTATCTTCTAGTTTATGACTTGGCCTTTCACTTCATGGTGTCTTCTGACTGAACTGAAGTCATAGAGATATTCACCTATATTTTCAGAAAGGGATTTAAAGCAGATCTGGTCCTTTATAAGTATCATCTTACAGTTCCGTCCCTTTGAAGTAGGGTTATTTGTTATTCTCATACCAATTAAGAGTTAAAAAATTGAAAGAGAAAAAAATATTCATACTCAGGTAAAAGGCAACTTGGTATTTTAAGGATAATTGGAGACAAAGACCATTCAGTGGGACCGAAGCGCATGTTGGTCTATCCTGTTTTTGTTTAGAGGTAAAAATTTTGTCTTCAGTTTCTGATTCCCTTTATCTCTGCTTTTTATTAGATACAAGTCCAATTCTGCTCAGCTGCTCGTTGAGGCTCGAGTTCAGCCCAATCCATCAAAACATGTGAGTGTCTCCTATTGGAGGGAGGCTTCTCCCGCTGTACCTGCCTCTTGCTGTTTGTCCTAATATAGGCCTAAATCTTACACTTCTGATCAAGTTTGAAAAGTTTCCTTAGATATGGGAGTCCACCATTACCTGTCCTCGGGCCCTTGCCATCCTGACCTTCCTCTGCACTTACATATAGCCTACACTCCATTTCTGCTGGGAGCCTTGGTGTTCCCAGGCTCACTTTTTTACTCTGCTTGTGCCTTACCTAGCCTGGAATGTCGAGACCTTATTCCCATCTTTGCTTGTGGGAATAGAACTCACCTTTAAAGACTCAGATCCAAAGCCACCTCCTTCACAAAGCCTGTCTCCTGTGATCACTCCCCTCCAGACTCCTCTGGTTTTGTCTTTAAATCTTTAAAAGTATGTTATAGTGATTCACTCGTATCTTTTTAGCTCCTCTATCACACTGTAAATGCTTTAAGGTTAGGAACCGTGTTTACAATGCTAGCAATTTCCTGTCCATCTAGGAACTCTGAATTATCTGTGACATCTCTTCCTTGTGTCAGGTTGTAACTTGATTAAAGCTATTTTGTGGTTTGAGCATATTGATACAGAACCACTGTCCTTGACAAGTAAAACTGCAATGTGGGCTGTTAGAAGCTTTACAGACGTGGTCTCTAAGAACCTTTGTGAACTGGGTTTGTAGTACTTGTTGAGGTGCAACTTTGTGCTGTGCCAAATCGGGACAGTTTACAAAAGATGCCTAGATAGCCTCTAAAAGAAGTTGAACTGAATGACCTCTTTTTTTTAAAAAAAAAAAAAACAAACAAAAAAAAAACCATTGTCATCAAGTTGATTCCAACTCATCACGACCCTATAGGACAGAATAGAACTGCTCCAGGGTTTCCAAGACTGAAATCTCCACAGAAGCAGACTGCCACATCTTTCTCCCACACAGCCGCTGGTGGGATCGAATTGCCAACCTTTCAGTTAGTAGCCGAGGTCTTAACCACTGCACCAACAGGGCTCCTTGAATGACCTCTAAGGACTCTGATAATTCTGAAATTCTGAGCTTTTCAGGCTGACATTAAAAACCACTGTAAGCTCATTTCAGTTTTTCTGCCTTCTTTCTGCCTCTCTGAATCCTAGTGATTCTGCAAGCTTGGCTCAGGTGTTGCCTCCGTCAGGAAGCCTTCCTGGTGTACGCTCTCTGCTCAGCATCCTGGGAACTTGCAGAGTACAGTTGAGCTCTGGCATTTGTTGCAGGGTCAGGATCGCCTCCCATGCACCCAGCTGCACGAGGCACCTCTGTGGCCTCCTGGGACCTGGAGGCTCCTCTTTGGCTCATGTGGCTATGCCTTTCCTCAGGTCCCAGCAGCCCATCCCCCTCACCACTGCGCAGTGTGTATGCAGTTTGTGCGGAAGGAAAACCTGCTCTCTCTGGCTTGTCAGCACCAGTTTTGCCGCAGCTGCTGGGAGCAGCACTGCTCAGTACTTGTCAAGGACGGCGTGGGTGTGGGTGAGTCTGCCACAGACTTTGTAAAAGACTGGGCTGAAGTGTTTTATCTTCGACTCTGCCTTTTCAGGTACTCGGGTAAACTGCGTGTTTTCTTCTGACTCTGGTAATGGTTCCCACATACACCAGTTTTGAACATTGGCAGTTTTCCCCAGTCTTCAGCAAAAAGAGAAAGTTAAGGATATTGTTGGGCACATACATTGGTGTGAGTGCAAGGCTACGTTCTCTTGACTTTTGGGAAAACTGTCCTTTAAGCTATCTACCCTTTGTTGATGCTCCAAGTGGCAGCCATGGCTCAGAAACACCCAGAGCTTGCTGCTATTTAGGTAACAGCACAAATCAAATTTGATGATAGCTACAGGAGCATTTATTATACTATGACTTGATGGCATTGAAACCAAATGAGCATCACATTAATTGGTATCTGCAGAATCTTACATGTATTGGTGATGATCACTTTGCACATAATACTAAACGTCATAAAACTCAGTTGCTGGCCAAGAACCCTATAGGATTTTTTTAATGATTTTTGTTTTTTAGTGGTGCTATTGGTGATACATGTGTAATTTGAGATAATATTTTAGTTGCATCACTTTGCAAATATGTTAATTTTCCTCCTTTCTTCTTTGAGTAAATTCGATTGCTTAAAGGGTTCTTGTATGGAATCTGAATTTTACTTGTTGGTTGGTCCTTAAGAATTGACTCTTTAAGTGTAGTGTTGTATCTCCTGCAGTACGCTTGTTCATCAAGTTGTCTTTGTTCAATAGGGGTCTCTTGTATGGCTCAGGATTGCCTGCTCCGAACACCAGAGGACTTTGTGTTTCCGTTGCTGCCCAATGAAGAATTGAGAGACAAATACAGACGCTACCTCTTCAGGGACTATGTGGAGGTATGACCAGCCCCATGTTCTGCCCTCTGTCCTCCTGGGCCTACCTTCTATCAGAGGCTTTCCACAGTAACTTATTTTATAGGTTGGGCTGCCATTAGGTGCAGTCATTTGAAGAAAGAGCTCCATGGCTTTTAAAAAAGTTTGAAAACCATTAGAGTGGTAGTGAAAAGCACAGGCCCCCAGGGTCAGGAAGTGTGAATCCAGGTCTGCTGCTGCTTCATTGTGTGACCTCCGATCCTTTTCTGTAGATTGGACAGGCATCTGTCATTAACTGGAAGAACAGTAGGTCTTTGAGCACTCGGGGTCTAATTTGGAGACAGTGAACAGGGGATGTCTTCATTGTTTCCCCTTGGTGTGTTCACAGAGTCATTACCAGCTCCAGCTCTGCCCTGGTGCAGACTGCCCCATGGTTATCCGGGTACAGGAGCCCAGAGCTCGCCGTGTGCAGTGCAATCGATGCAACGAGGTCTTCTGGTAAGAGTGAGTGTGAGTGCTGAGCGGCCCTGGGCTCATACCCTCTCATCCTCCACAGCTCCACTGCTTTGCTCTGTATGAGGGCAGATCTTCAAGAGGTGGGGTCTCTGAGCCAGAAGAGCAGCTCTGCTGCAAGAGGGAGGTTTGTGCGTAACATCTTATGTTCCACAAGGTGTTCGATGAATACTCAGTCTGGAGACAAGGAAGTGGCACAGATCTTGGAGAATGGGTTGTGATTTATGCTAGTAAGACTCGTGACTTAGAAATTGTGTGGGTCTCTGTGCGTATGTATCTGTCTGAACAGATAATTCACATATTACTGTTTGAAAAGATACAGCCTTTAAAGTTTTCATCTTTACCTATCTTGGCCTTTGTTGGCTAAATTTTTTAAAGCTGTAATTCAGAAATGGATTTTACATAGTGCAAAGTTTAAATCTGATTTCCAAGATAGGTACATCATAGTTGAAAAATTAATGAAGAATGGTAAAGTAGAGTGGCCCACAAGCACCACGCTCCTTGATTAGTATACTTTATAAAGGGATGCAGACTTACTGCATGCTGAGAAAGCAGCATTCAAAATCTGTAGGCACTTGTTTCCTATTTCAGCATTTTTTCCAATATCAGAAAATTAGAAACCGCATAATCATGTCAGTAAGTTAATTTATCAATTACCTAAAACACCTTATAGCCATCAGAATTTAAAAAAGGAAAACTACATAGCAATACACAAAAAAGCTGTCTTGTGTATGTTGTTAGTTGCCATTGAGTTGATTCTGACTCATGGCAACCCCATGTATGCAGAGTAGCACTTTAAGAAGCACATCACCAGGCCTGTCTTACAAGGTTCCTCTGGGTGGGTTTGAACTGCCCACCTCTCAGCTAGTGGTCGAGCACTTAACCATTTGTGCCACCGTGGACTCCTTTCTTGGTATAAGGAGTATAAAATTGTGTGCATTATGATTGTTGTGCAAAAACTGTTAAGTGGATGGGGAAGTCATTTTTTTCCAAATAAAAATGTGTTGAAAGGCAGGCATGATGCCGTGTTAATGAGGCCTTGAGTTCTTTCTTTGTGCTTCTATGTTCCTATCAAGCTCTGTATGTCGCCCGGTGGTAGGGCATGAAGTGGGGAGGCAGATTGTTGTCTGGTGACCTGAGCCTGAACAGGCAGTCACAGCAGATTAGAGCTTCATGGTTACTGTAAATTCTTTCTGGATCAAGTTGGAGTAGAAAATTTTAGAAGCAGAGCTGTTTGCTATTACTGGGTTTGCCTATTATGGTGTCACTTGCAGAATTTTAGTATTATTAGGTATTTGACATTTTCACCAATAAGTTAGTCCTCTCAGAAAAAAAATTGTTGCTGCACTCTCGGATTTGGTGATGGGAAATGGTTGGTGTAGACCAGAGAATCACTCACCACCATGCAGAGTGAGGTGGGAAGGGCTGTATGCAGAATAAAGAAGAATAGAGGAAGGAGTGCCTGCCTGGTGTAGGGGTTGTGGACGGAGTTGTCAACAAGGACTTTCCAGAGGAGGTCAGGTCTAGTTTTCACGTAGGAGGAGGAGTTGCTGAGCTGTGAGTGGAGAGAGTGGCAGGGATGACTCCATACCAGGAGTGTGAATGCTTTCTGACATCACTGAGGTGTAATGCATAACTAGGAAGTGGTGGCACGTTACCTGCAGATGATACTTTGCTTCTTGGAGTTGTCACCCATAGGGATATATGAGGAGAGGCTGGGAGCTGCGTGAATGCTTGTTGACTGAAATTAGACAGGTTTAATTTGTTCTTTCTGTTTTCAGTATTCAGGGGTTGGGGTACTCTTTCTACAGAAGGGACAGGCTGAATGTTTCATTTAACTAGGGGTTCACTTGTCCATTCAATAAGTGTGATGAGAATAGCTGAAGTTTACTGACGGCTTACCAGATGACAGGCACAATCCTGATCACTTTACCTGCATTATCAAACTGTGTGTGATTGAACTGTTGTCACCCTTATTTTATAGGTGAGAAAATCAAGACACAAGGTAACCCAGCTAGTAAATGGCGGAGTCATAATATAGGTCTGATCTTTTGCCTTAATCACGCCTCCCTGGAGGATTCATAGTGGGGCTTCAGGAAAACTACATGGAAAATGAGTGTGCACATGTACCTGCCTTTCAAGATGTTGAGGGAGTCTGTGGCCCACCAAAGGTTAATATAATTGCCACTAATATAATTCTCCATCCTTCATGCCTCACATTACTGATTTTTCTCCCTGGGGCATGTGTTTGGCTGTCTTGTCTGAGGGCCCTTAATATCCACAGAGATATGTTGGCTTGGACAAAAAGGAATTTGAAAACATGAGAGACTGACCCAATGAGCATTTGGATGCTCTGATTTTAAGTTTCAAGTGTCGTCAGATGTATCATGTCCCCCACAGTGCACAGGTTCTGATGTTTGTGCGTCTTCATGTGCACGTGTGGCTGGGAGGTGAGAAGTGAATCTCAGGCCTGGCTTGGGTCTGAGCTGAGGCATCCTTCACAGAGAACCCCACCATGCCCTTAGAGAGGTTAAGCTCTGTGTTTGACATCCTTTCAGGAAAGGCTGACACCACACAAGATATTTAAAACAGGAACATTCCATTTGAGAGTATTGCAAGCTTGTATTAAAAGGGCTCAGATTGAAGAGAAGTTCACACAGTATTTCAGTATAATTCTAGGCAAGTAAAAGCCCCAAAGACCTTTAGAGGTGGCTCTGCCTCCTTGAAAAGCTCTAGTTCAGGATCAGCTGGCTTGGATAAAAGGAAATTTGAAAACATGAGACCCTGACTTGACCAGTCTTTAAATGTTTTTCTTTTCTGATTTTAAGTTTCAAGTGTCGTCAGATGTATCACGCTCCCACAGACTGCGCCACAATCCGGAAATGGCTCACGAAGTGTGCAGACGACTCTGAAACGGCCAACTACATTAGTGCTCACACTAAAGACGTAAGGACCGTATCTTACCTGTCATGGATCTGCCCTCATTAGTGCTGTCCAAGGCCTTGCAGAGCAGAACACCCAGCGCCCTTGCTAGAGGCTGCAGACCCTCCCCCACGCTTGGCAGAATTTGCAGCAGTTTATTGTAGGATGATTTGGGTGCATGTATTTTAATAAAATGTTGAAATGCCTGGAAAAGTTTGGCCCAAAGGAGAATTAATCAGAAGAAAAACAAGTCTTTATTGAATGCCTACCAGCAGTTCATTCCGGTTTGAACCCGTACTGTAAATTTGCATTTCTAACAAGTTACCAGGTGATGCTAATGTTGCTGGTTAGAAACCCGTTTGAGAACCATTTTAGTAGAGCAGTGGTTCTCAAATTTTATTATACATTAGAATGACCTGGAGATCTTGTTAAAATGTAGATTCTAATTCAGTATATCTGGAGTGGAAATGAAAATTCTCAGCAGGTGTTTGAACTAGACTTTGGGAAGAAGGAGGTTAATAGCCACAGCTGGTAAATAGCAAAGCTGTAATGTAAGCCCACTCTACCGAGTTGTCATTCTGAAGCTTCCCATGAGAAGCATGGCCTGTGGTCCCTTGAGCCCAGGGTGACCCGACACCCTAGGCTGTAAACTGTGCCAGTCACTTGGCAGAGTCGATGCAGTCACAAGCACAGCTGTGACCGTGATGTCATTGTCTTAGGCTGGGTTCTCTAGAGGAGCAAAAACCAGTGACATGGAAATATATATAGAGAGAGATTTATTTCAAGGAAATGGCTCACACAGTTGTGGAGGCTGGCAAGTCCCAAATCCGTGGGTCGGATGTCAGGCTGGAGGCTTCTCCTAACTCGTGGTTGCAGGGCTCGCGCACCCAAAATCAGCATGTCAGGCAGAAGGTTGCTGGCTCCTGGCGTTTTGGGAGCTTGTGAATCCCAAAGTCTGCAGGTCATATGGCAGACTGCTGCCTTACGTCCTAAGAACCTGAGGTCAGAGGATGACAAGTCAGATGCAGGATTGAGAGAGGGTGAACTTTGCCATATATATTCAATGGAGGCCACACCCCAAGGAAACTCCCCCTTTCAACTGATTGGCTGCTCACATCAGATCACAAAATGGAGGATGATTACATAATATCTGCTCACCTGAGAATTGTGGCTTAGCCAAGTTGACACATAACCTTAACCATCACAGTCCACCCCTTGTCAGCTTGGCACGTGTACACATCTTAAACCATCATAATCTCTAAATAAAGACAATTATAAAGTCATACTTGCACCTAACATGATATACTAACATGCATACAACTGAAAATGGACTAGTCCAGTTTAAATCTTATATTTTATAATAAGTAATGGAATAAGGGAGGGAAGAAAACAAAGATATTTGATATACACACACACATAACAAAACAAGGAAAAAATAACTCAAAACGATTATAGTCCTCGTTTCTGCAATGGTCATGTGGTCATAGCTGCTATTTAGAACTACCTTCTTCCACCACCCATTTCATATTCCCTTTGCCCTCAGTAAGCACTTCAGCTGGTCATGGTTCTTTGCCTGGTTCCTGAAGAGTCTGGGCCATTAATAGTCATGTCGGAATTGGGTTGCTATAGTTTTCCATTGACTTTAATCACGGGTTGGTAGTACTAAGAGGTGGCCTAAGGGATCTCCTGCATTCCAGGCATAATCTTCTTTACCTCTATTATGTAATATCAATCCAGTTTCCCCTTGGTAATCAATCACACCAGCCAATATGGTAACTCCCTTCTTTGTCTGTTGACCCAGAGACATGAAGAGCCCAAAGTGGCCAGATAACATTCTTAACTTCCAGTTCAGTGGAATCAGTGTTGGGTCTCCTGGTGAGAACATTCTTCCCTTTGGAACTAAGATCTCTAGACCTGCAGAGTATAGGGTCGCAGGGATAGGAAGCAAAAGGTTTGTGAGTGGGTCACTAGGGGCAGTAGTGGTGCCACTCCTGTTTCCACCCCTTGAGTCCTGGAGCCATGAATCCTGGCTATGAGAGAAACAGTACCGTATATTGGACACTGGTTTAGAGCATATACAGCCTCCTGGAGAACATTGCCCCAACCCTGCAAGGTATTACTACCTATCTGGTGCCATAATTGTGTCTTTAGAAGGCCATTCCATTGTTCTGTCAAGCCAGCTGCTTCGGGATGATGGGGAACATGCTAAGATGAGTGAATTCCGTGAGCATGGGCCCATTGGTTGCACTTCATTTGCTGTGAAGTGAGTTCCTTGATCCAAGGCGATGTTGTGTGGGTATTGTGATGGTAGATAGTCATTAAACATAGTTATGGCAGTGGGAGAGCCCAGCATCAGACTGGTCTCTGCATCACTGTATGAGATTGCTGGCATCTCTGAAATGAGAGAGAGTGAGCTTTAGAGATTGTTTCCTTGCCCTCTTCTGGAAGCAGAAGTCCAGGCAAGCTGACCAAGAGAGTCTAGTGTGGCAGCTCTTATGCTTTCTTTGGCAGTCTTCCCAAGGAGGCAGGCTTTTTGCTGACTCAGCCTGTGCTTAATCTGAGCAGTTTCGGGGCAGGGGCAGATGGTGGAAGACTTAGCAGGGCTTAGCTGGTGGTTGGAGTGTTTCAAAGCCAAACATGCTGACCTCATTTCCTTGAATTGCTGTTCCAGCCTCAGCGACCTGCCACATTTGAGTGAGATGCTCCTCCCCAGAAGTGCTCGCACGATGAGCTACTGGGCGCGGGTGCCAGGAGCTTTGTGTAATTTGTCTTAGAACCAGCCTGATCGTGTGTGAGCCTAACGGCACCCTTCTGTCTCCTCAGTGTCCCAAGTGCAACATCTGCATTGAGAAGAATGGAGGCTGCAATCACATGGTGAGCACAGACACGTGTACACTTTGCATATGTGGTATGGAGCCTTTGGTCAGCATGCCCTTAACGTGTTTTCTTCTGTTTCCCTCTGACAGCAATGCTCCAAGTGTAAACACGGTGAGTCCTAGGCTTGGCGCTCAAGGCCCAGTGGCGTGGTCTGTGTTTCTTGTGCTTGGGTCTCCATTGCTTGTTTAGTGAGTACTTCTGTAGTGAAATAACAAAACACAGGAGAGCCCCAGTCACTTATAGTCATAAAAACTGTCATAAAGCAGCTCTTATTTTTTATTCATTGATTATGCATTCTTACAATCCCACTGCCATCTTGCTGACACCTATAGTCAGAAGTCAAGTTTGAGATTACTTTAGACTCTTACAATTTTAGTGTGTTCTTTTTGCCAAGGCAGGTAAGTAGCATGGGCTTATCTTACAACCTTACAGATACTTTCAGAGCAGGTTATACATGGTTTTATCCAACCCATTGCCATCGAGTCAGTTCCAACTCATAGCAACCCTGTAGGACAGAGTAGAACTGCCCCATAGGGTTTCCAGGGCTGTAAATCTTTATGGAAGCAGACTGCCACATCTTTCTCCCGCGGAGTGGTTGGTGGGTTCAAACTGCCAACCTTTTGGTGAGCAGCTGAGTGTTTAACCAGTGCTCCACCAGAGCTCCTCCATGGTTTTACCAGAGGTAGTAAAATAGTAGTTTTCCTTGGAGGGTTTGTAAAGTTTGCAGAAAGAGTTTTGATTTGTCCTTTCAGGTATCCATCTGTCAGGAACAGATCACACAGACAGAACCTGTTGGTTTTGCCAGACCAAGTGAAGAAACAAAATTCTTCCAAGTAGAAAATGTGTCCAAAGTCCTAATAGGTCTCCTACACAACTGCTTAGCTGCTGACCAGGAGGCCTTGAGAATTTCTCCTTGTAAGGGCCCATGCTAATGTTATTCCTGCATTTTCCCAAAAGCCCTGTAATCAGGGTAGACATGGCAAGGTCTTAGACAGGAGCAGTGACTCTGAAGGATAGAATGAAGACAGGCCCACAGGCCCAGGGTAGTGGCATATTTCCTTGACGAGGTCTCACTCCCTCTGTGTGTACGTGTGTTTGGAGGGAAATATACTTAGAACAGTGAATAAGACACGTACAATTTAAAGAGGAACGGCAAAGTGAACACCCCTGTACCTACCACATTCCTCATACTTAAGAATCCCCCTGTGTGCCACTCCCCAGTCATAGTCCTCTTGTCCCTAGCTTTGCTGTGTCCTTAATACCACCTATACAGGCAACCCTAAGCAATGTATTATTTCTTTAAAAGAGTAGCAGCACGTTCCTTTAAAAGAGCACCTAGCTTATTGCCACTGTTAGATGAAGGCTCCCGGGAAAAGACAAGTTGAACAGCCTCTGGGTCTCTGGGTCTGGCTTTAGCTTCCCTAAAACTTTACAAGAGCCCTTTTTGGGAAGTCAGTGAGCCAAGTTATGCGAGTGAATCCTAGGAAACAGTACTTTCCAAAGTCAGGGTCTCTGGTAGAGACAGAATGTAGACCAGGTACTGGACATCCAACAGAACTGTGGTTGGCCCCTCTCCATTAGATTGCAGTTATTGTTAGGATGTATAGCATCCAAAAGGGAATCTTTATTTTTCCCCCTTTTCTTCCTCAGTGTGGAAGCATAATCATAATTCTGAGTATGACCTTTTGGGTAGCTGTAGATTTTATAGAAGTGTGCTCTTTAAAAAGAAGAAAAAGGGGAAAAAGCCTTTATTCCAAGCTTTATATACAAAACATTTTCCTTAGATCGGTGTTGTGAGGGTGAGAGGTGGTCAGGAGGATAGTTTGTACAGATGATGTGGTTCTGGACGTCCAGGCGGGCCTCAGTTGGACAGACTTCTGCTTCTCACAGTAGTGGTCTTTGTACAGTCAGCATCTGCCTTTGTCGAATTAAAAAGGCAAAAAGCGCACATGCTCCTGGAATCAAGAACATCTGTAGGCTGTTCATATCATCAAGGAGAGGCTACAGACAGGGATGGTGGTCCATGACAGGGATGAGAGATGCACGTTCCCTCTGGAAAGAGGCATCATTGGGAAGTTCTGGTCAGGTGACCCCCCCTGGAGCAGGATCTCTGCTCTGGGTTGCTCCACTGTCTGTCCCACAGCTTTGCCTATGCGTCTAGAGGAATGTGAGGTTGTCTTGTGAGCGTAAATGACTCTTTCTCTGTTCTGTGCAGACTTCTGCTGGATGTGTCTAGGAGATTGGAAGACCCATGGCAGTGAGTACTATGAGTGTAGTCGGTACAAGGAGAATCCTGACATTGTCAACCAGAGCCAGCAGGCCCAGGCCAGGGAGGCCCTCAAGAAGTACTTGTTCTACTTTGAGAGGGTAGGTGTCTTCTCCTGCACCTGCCCCTCAAGGGTAGGCTACTGCAGCTGGCCTGCTGGGGTGGGATTCCCAGTGGCTGGTAGCCAGAGCACACCCATGTGCACAGAAGTCAGTGGGTGGAGCTTATGCAGTGGCCTTGGGTGCTGCCTCCATAGATGTGGCTTTCAGACTCTACAGGGTAACCATAGCCAGTGGGAAAGGATGTGGTGCTGACTTTGGTTGGAAGATGGAGACAAGGACAGTGAAGGGCTGCCAGATGGTCTGTTGCATCCAGTATCATAATAGATTTAGAGGGCAGTTCCTTCTAGGGAGACCTTTCAGAAGCCCACAGAGCATAGCACATTTGGTTTCTAAGCACAGTAAAATGGTCGGTGCCTAGCTTTGCTTAGTCCTCAGGACCAGACCTGTTGCCCTAGAGGGGTAGAGTGATCTCACAGGCAGCTACTTCGAATAGGGTTAGAATGTGTGCTGAAGAAGTCTCCCTCCTACTCTCTCAAGGACACCAAAAACCAAACCAAACCCACTGCCATCGAGTCAGTTCCAACTGATAGCAATCCTATAGGACAGAGTAGAACCGCCCTGTAGGGTTTCTAAGGCAGACTGTAAATCTTTACAGAAGCAGGCTGCCACATCTTTCTCCCGCAGAGCAGCTGGTAGGTTCAGACTGCTGACCTTTCGGTTAACAGCTGAGCACCTTAATGACAGCGCCACCAAGGCTCCTTTTTCAAGGACACCCAGCCCCATAACTTAGAGGAGTCTGTGGCTGTGCCTTGCCAGCCAAGCTGTCTATGCTTATCTCCTGTGAGGACCTCCGCATCTTCCCAGGACTTCTGCAGCTTTCTCTCCTTCCTCCTTTGCCCTACAGTGGGAAAACCACAACAAAAGCTTGCAGCTGGAGGCACAGACATACCAGCGAATTCATGAGAAGATTCAGGAGAGGGTCATGAACAACCTGGGGACGTGGATTGACTGGCAGTACCTACAGAATGCTGCCAAGCTCTTGGCCAAAGTATGTACCACTGCACTCTTCCGACCTCCGCTGAGTGCCTTGTCCTGTTGTGCCAAGACTTCTGAGGGTGGGAGGCCCCTGGTGCGGTGGTTGCTCAGCATGCCGTGCAGCCCTGCATGCTCCTGCTTATGGGTCCACATTTACCTTGGCCAGGGCTGCTGAGGACCCAGCCCTCTGCTGGATGTCTGGGGGATTTCCAAGAAGAGTGCTCTACTGCCTCTTCCTTCAGGGAAGGAGCTGCAGGGAAGACTAGAGCCCTTTTCTTCTTCTTTTGTCCCCATCCATGCATCACTCAAGGAAAATAAGAGATTGTCTTTGGACAAGTGTTGAGCTAGATGTGTGGACTCTGGGTCCGACTCGAGAGGGAAGAGCCATTGAGGCAGCTACTGGTAATAAATCACAGCTTGAAAAAGGAACCGTGGGTGTTCTGTGACCATTTTTCTTTCAGTTATCCCAGTGTCTTCCCCTAGTTCATCCTCTCTGGCTTGGTGATTTTGTTCAGGCCCATACCTGTAGAGCTAAGCTAATTTGCATGGTGGAGTAAGAATTATAAAAACCACCTGAGATGTGGGTAGGTTAGAATCACACAGTTCCCTCTTTTCTGTCCTACGGCAGTGTCGATACACCTTGCAATACACCTACCCGTATGCGTATTACATGGAATCTGGACCCAGGAAGAAACTGGTAAGGCGAAGCAACCCCTCCACTCTGCTTTCTTAGCTCCCATGGGTGCCCTTTATACTGGCGCTTTGCAGAAAAGCAGGGACCAGACCCTGGTCATTGGGAGGGCAAAATCAAAACAAAACTGTCCGTTTCTACTCTGGGCATCTCCAGAATAGATCTCAGGTGCTGCTGGCATTTTGTGTCGTAGTACGGCAGATGGACCTCAGCCTCTGAACGACTGTATTTAAAGAGTGATTGGCTGAGGGTGGTGTCAGCTCTGTGGACTGAGAAGGTCAAGTGCCCATGCTTTGGGAGGACTTCGGGGACGAATATCCCTACATTTTAGTTGACCTGTTTATATCTTTAATTCTGCATCTTATATATGGGCTGTTTCCCCTGATGATAAATTAAATCACATTTATTGTTTAAATGTTGGAAAACACAAAGTATTTGCATCATCCATAATCCCACCAGAAATGACCACTCTTAGCATTTTCCAGCCTTTTTAAAATTAATACTATTTATATAATCAAGGTTATGTTACATGTAACATTTTATAAACAGCTGTCATCATTTACTAGACTGGTAAATATAATTTTTTAATGGTTGTGTGAATGTTACATTATATGGTTGTATCATCATTTGGAACATTTATTGTTTTCTATTTTCCATGATTATAAATAAGATATTGAGCAACATCTTTGTACAATAAAGCTTTATCTCCTTAGGTGAGAGTCCTAGAAGTATAATTACTAAGTCAAATGGTTTGAATATTTTTAAGGCTTTTGATTTGCAGAAGGGCTGAACACATGAAAAAATGTTTAGTGAAGACAGTGTTTACAGATGTCTATTTTGACTTGATTTTGCAGCATCTGTTTCCCTGTTGGGACCATTCTCTTCAGTGGCTTAATTCTTCCCCCTTTGGCCATATTCCTCAGGTAGCCTTTGGTCTGGATTCTGGCTCTGAGCACAGGGAGTACCACTGCCCCGTGCTTCTGAGAACAGTATTAGCGTTGTCTGTAACTCATGCAAGCCTGATGTCCTGCATTGCCCCTCCATCTGCAGGCCCTGCCCTGGCTACAACCCTTTCTCCTTTTGACCCTCCTGCTCTGCCCATACAGTTTGAATACCAGCAGGCTCAGCTGGAGGCTGAGATCGAAAACCTGTCATGGAAGGTGGAGCGTGCAGACAGCTATGATAGAGGGGTGAGTGCCTGCTGTTCTCTTGGACCCTGGATTGCAGGCGAGGGAGGACTGGCATGGTAACAGGTGACAGCTGTGGCATGTGGACTAGAAGCTGCTGCTAAGAATGAGGGAGGGCAATGCTTTGGGCTCCTCCCGAGCCCCTGACATGGCAGGCGTGGCTTTGGCTGCTCCCTGCTCCCGGACTGGGCCGTGCAAACACCTCTCTTGCTTCCCTGGTACAGGACTTGGAGAATCAGATGCACATAGCGGAGCAGCGGAGGAGAACCTTGCTGAAGGATTTCCATGACACCTAGGTCAGGACACGGACGGGGATGCTGCTGAGAGGTCTCCCGGCTGCCACACTGCATGCTGCAGGCTCTGCCTTTCACAACCCCAGGCGACAGTCAGGGCCCCACTCCTGAGAGACACTGGCAACACACCTCTTAGTCAATTTGTGTTTTCTTCTCATCTTTTCGCTTTTTGTTTCTACCAGGGTAGAATCCATGTTGAATTGGCTTCTTTTCAGAACTTGTAATTTCCCCTGGATGATTGGGAGGGAGGGGAAGTTTTTTTTCTGAATGGCTATTAATAGTATTAGATCATTACAACTTATGTAATTTTCAAAGGTTGTACAATTATACAAAAAAAAAAAAAAAAAAGGCAAACCGTAGAATAACAAGAACCTTTTTTAAAAATAAATTGGCATTGGAGTGTTTTACCCTCTAGCTATTTTACTTAGGATATAACCTATGCTGCCCACCTACCCTGCCTCAGAAGTCTGCCCTGCAGGAGGGCCTCAGGTGGCCTCTGTTTTCCAGATTCCCCACATGTGTTTGGCCACAGCTGGAGTCCCACAGCTGAAGGAGCATGGGTGACGGATGGTGGGGAGTTGAGTTGGCTTATGCAATGAGTGTGGAGTGCAGGGAGTCACCTCATGCCTCTGCCTGGTCCTTGTAGACCCTTCTGTGATGAGGTGCACCTGCCTCACCTTGGCAGTGAGGAGACGGTACAGGACAGGGTTTTCTTGCCACGGGTGTCCGCTCTGGTGACGCTGCATGTCTATGGGCTCGTCTTTATTCTTGAAAGTGAGGCTTACCCAGGCCTGGCTACTGAGGTAAGAGCCCACATCAGAACATAGGTGTGCCTGTGGCCCTCCAGCCTAGGGAATGCAGGTTCAGCACAATGTTTCCTTTTGTCTCTTAAAGGTGGAGATTGATCCAATTTTGAAAGGAATTGTCCCCCAAAGTACATTTGTTTTACCTTGGTACCTTCGTTCATGTCAGTGTTCCAGTGGTGATAACTCTGACCAAGGTCATGCACCTGGTACTGTCCTGCTGCACCCTCCTCTGGTGAGCGTCATGGTCAGAGTTTAGCGTGGTCCTCTCAAGGGCACTGGCCTTCTGGGCTTGGGCCAGGTTTCATGTCACTTGGAGTACAGCCGGTGGTTGCTCCGAGCCTGCTCCGTCTGGTTCCACCTGTCAAAGGATACCACCTCTAGAGCCTGGGAGTCTGCGGCCAGGAGGCTTCTCGGTTTGTGGTCTCAGCTCCTGTACTGTGAGGGGCTGACGGGAGAGGGCCAGCTTTGGGGACACAGTCAAGCTGAAATAGCTGGTGGTTCACTCGGTATCCTACCTGGACCCCTGGGCCTTTGACAAATTAGATCTGTGGTTTCTGTGTGGTGCTTCCATTCCAAGACTGGCAGAGATGCCTATGCTCAAAACAGGGCCTCCTTGACCTTGTGGAAGAGCTGGTAGGGAGATGATCTGTGAATATTGTGTTGGAAGTTCTTTGTTATTCATACATTTTCACCTCCAGTCAGCAACTTCCCAGGTATCATGTAAGCTGTGAAACTGAATCACGCTTGAAGAGAGGACGGCTGTGACTCTTGGGGTACTGGGGTACATGGCTGGCTACAGAGTCCCTTTCTCCCATCTCAGGTTTTATCTTCCTGTCATTCTCAGCCAGCAAGGAGGGACTGTGTTATGGGGTGGGAGAACAGGTTAGGAGTGTGGCACACAAACACAGAGGAGGTCAGTGGAGAGCTTGTTGTGAACAAGGCGAGCACCTGCTGTGGGAGATATGGTAGGGTGTGAGTGCTTGTTCGCACATGGAGGATCCAGGTGTCTGGAGCCTTTACCTCTCTGTGGCGTCCTTTCTGTGGCATCGCCATGGCCCATGGACCTGAACGGCAGCTCTGCCCCCCGAGTCATGCCCTGGGCATCCCTGGGCATTTTCTGGACTGCATGGCTGCCGCGTTCTGCACTTGCATCTAGCTGTGGCCCTGACCACTGAAGCTGCAGGGGGTTCTGTGCCCAGGCCCACAGCCTGCAGCCCTTGACCTGTGGAGAACTTCCTGTTGTGCCTTCAGTGGCTGTCCTTTATTAATGTCAGGAAGAGGGGAACGGTCGGGCAGAATTTTTCCGCCCTCTACAGAATAGAAGAGAAAGGAAGGCACAGTGTTTTCATGAATTTACCATATCTCCTTGCTTTTCTTCAAAGAAAAAGTTAATTGAGGCAATGTCATCTGTTCAAAGTTGAGTGGTTTATTCAAAATAAACTAAGTTTCTGATTATGAATGTGTCTGTAGAGTCTTTCTTCAAAAGTGCCTCAGGTGGGGTCTGGCCGATGAGTGCCGTGCAAGGGCCTTCGTGTTGGTCATCCCCTCCTCCAGAGGGCTGTGGAGGAGCCCTGCTTTTCTTCCCTTTGTGGCTGTCTGGGGAGAGGACCCTGTAAGTGGTCACTTTGGAGAGAAGTGGAAGATCCTTGGCATTGTCAGCTGTCCTCTCCCTCCCTTGGTGGCAGCCAAACCATTCCTCACCACAAGATCCCTGGATTGTGGTAGGGCACTGATTCTGATGCCCCATATCCCTTGCTGAAACCCCAAGCCCTTCATTCTGAACACCCCAGGTTCCTCCAGAGCCAGACGGGTGCTTAGGGCCATGGAGTATGATGGGGAGTTATGGCTTTACAGGACCCCTGAGGGGTATGTAGAGAGCTCAGGGTAGAAACTGGAGGTGTTTGGAGTCCAATCCCCAAGGGCTGAGGACAGGAATTGGAGTTTGGGTGCTGATTAAGGGCTCCATGTTTGAGGTGTTGGGAGTGGTAGTAACTTCAGTGGTAGCTCAGAGGTGAAGGCTGCAGAGCTGTGGGCAGCATGCACGGGGCAGTTGAAGCCAGAAGAGGCCTGAGACACTGCCAGTCTAAACTCCATGGCTGTTCCTCTTTAGGTCTGGGTGTGCCAGGCCCCGTGCTTGGTGCCTGGACATACAATGGTGTTCATAATATACGTGAGCCCCACCCTCCAGGAGCCTCCAGTCTTGCTGATGGGATTGGTTACTAGTGAGAGGGTTTTCACTGGGGCAGCAAGGCCGGGGGCCATAGGGCCATTCAACTGGCCCATCCGTACACGGGGCACTTCTGCAGATCAGTGGGAAGAAAACTATGGTCTTGGCACTATATCCTTGGTGATCTTAAAAAGGAACGGGAGGAGATAGCGCATTCTAGCAAACAGAAGGATTTTCCACATAGCTCCCAGGGGTTCATGCAACAAGTATCTGACCACCACCAATGTGCCAGGCTCTATTCTGCTTATGGAGAACACAGCTGTTGACAAGCCAGCCCAGTTCCTGTCCCCACGAGACAATCACACTAATGGTGACTGAGCACACACCCACTGCGTCCTCATAGCAGCCCTATGAGGTGGGTGCTTTCTTTGTCCACATTATATAGGTGTTCAAAATGAGATGATGTACTTTGCCCAAGGTAACCACTTCGAGTAAATTGCAAAAAAAAACAAAACACCACATTCACTGTTAAGAACTGGAAAGAAATTCCAATTTTTGTAATAATACATTAGAAAACAGCCCAAGTCAAGCCCCGATTTGACAGTGGGTACCTGGTGGGACTCCATGAGGTGAGTCAGCCTGAGGTTGGCACATAAAGGGCCATAGGTTTTAAAAGGCCAATAAATTTTTATTTACAATGTAATTGCCACGGCCGACAGCAGGTGGAGCAGAAACGGGTGAGGCAGGCCCAACAGAAGCCTGCTCACCTGTTGCCTGGTGATGTGCTGGCGGAGAAGGTGCTGTAAGTAGCAGCAGGAATCTGTCAACTGGATATAGGTAATAGAAATGAGGCGAGTGGAGTTCAGGAAAATAGGTTGAGAAGGGAGATTTTATAGTGATAACAATTGTAGGTTTTAAAGGTCTAAGAGGGAAATGGTTTCAACATTCATTCATGGGTACCAGAGAAGGATAAGATGTTGGTAAAATTGTGACTCGCTTGTCAATTATCATATGTGAGGACTTAAGGGAGCCATCTGGTTTTGGAAAAACTGACTTGTTTCTGTTGTACTATTTATTGTACTCGAAAATTGAGAGACTTCTGACCTAATTATGGTGGATTGAAGACAAACTGCAGGAAATTTGAAGTCCTTAATTGGTAATAAAATTTTCATCTATTTAAATTAGAAAAATTTCTTTCACAGCAGATACATGTCCTTTGGAATTCATTTTAGTGGGAAGGGGCCATTGTGGCTGCCACTCCTGCTGTCTCGGCCTCTGTGAAGGGGGCCCAGGCCTGCCTGGTTGTTTCTAGAGCCGTTGGTTCCCACTCCATCTGGACCACTGGTAGTGTTTGGTCAGTATCCCACACAGCTCACATTGCTACCTGCCCACCTCTCACTTCCCCTTTCATCCCCTACAAATGTCCTGAACATTCTGTGTGTTGGTGTTTCTCTATAGTATCCTAAGAAAACTGACAAGATGGTCCGAGGGTGATTGGATTAGTGGAGTGCACCCATGTGCTTGGAGCACTGGTGAAAGCTGGCATTATGTGTAGAATCTTGGAAAATGGGAGGTGAACCTGTCCTTTGGATCGCCTGGCCTGCCCTGAATGAGACCAGAAAATACAGACCATACTTTTCTGGGAGGGGGTAGGGTGGATTTTCACAGAGTAACCAGAAACTACCTGTGGGGCCTGCCTTAATGGTGTTGCTCTTCTCTGCATGTCCACCTGGAGGTTAGCTTCTGCTCTGGGCGTGTGCATATCTGCCTGTCCATAACCCAGCGGTAGAAGAGCAGAGAGCATGAAAATGCCCAGGCCTTGGCACTTGGCCGCTGTTAAGTCTTCCCCCTGCTATTCTTGATGATAGCCTGAGTTTCTTTTTCCTCTGAGGTGATGGTGTCTCAATTGTGGAAGAGGTTATTTACCCTTTTCACATGTGCCAGCTTTAAGGCAAAGACAGTGTTCCTATATTTCCCCCACCCCCTACCCCAGCACGTACTGCATTTCTGTGGGTTACTGTTAGGGGACTGACCTTTGCGGTGCCAAGACCTCTTCAGGAAGCCCTCCCTGACCTTCCCAGACTAGGTCCCAACGCCTATGCGACCCCGCACACCAGGCAGCTTCATGCTGAGGGCCTGGCTGCGAAGCGGACCTCTGTTCTTGGCCTCCTACACACGCGTGTGTCGTGAGTCCTACATCACCACATGCGTAGTCATCGGCCTCCGCGGCGCCCCAAAACTGTCGCAGTACTGAGTCATCACTTGGCGCTAGCTCCTCCTTGCTACCCCATCATCACCACTCCCGCAGCGAAAAAATGCAGACCATAATTTTCTGGGAGACATCTTAACCCAGGAACGGAGAAACTACCAATGGCGTCTGCCTTAAAGGTGCCATTCTTGTCTGTATCTACATTTGAGGGGTCGGCTTCTGCCCCGGGGCGTGTGCATCTCTGCCTGACGGAATCGCTGCTCGGGAAGAAAGTCCAGTGCGGGCCGGGGTCCGCTGCGCAGAGGCTGACCGCAGTGCTGCGAAGGCGGCCCCACAGGCACAGCATCCCCGGGCGCTGCCTCCTAGTGATCGCGGCGCTCGGGCCCGGCGGCCGTTGTCCGGGTGACGGCGCAGCGCGGGCACCCCGCGGCCCCTCCCCT